TGATTGGAAAATTTTAAAATATCCTGTGTAAAAAATACTTGGGCTGTGTTTGCTCAGAAAACACTCTCGTAGCGAAAGGGTTAAGTATTGTCAGTTTTTTACGCAAATTTTTACTGTTATGTATAATGTATATAACTTTGATAGTTGTTTTGAACATAAAGACAAACTGGTATTTATATCTAAGGAGCGAGAAACAACGTTGATGTCTTTTAAAACTTATTCATTAATTCATTCCTATCACGTGAAGAAACTTGAATATGTAAATATCGTTATTTTGGTAAAAGTAATTAACATCGCCCATTAGTAAATTAATAACATTGTCCAACGATGCATTAACTGGACGCGAAATGTCTTTGGCATTTGGGTTTGCAGTGTTCGCCCATTTCCGAGGAGCGATCGCCGTCGTCTCGCGGCCGTCGTCACGACTCGGCCTCACCGATTGCGTCGCCGATCCATTCCGATGACGAGCTAGCGAAATCGGTTCCTAGCAAAAAACACCGCCATAAGAATAAGGGCGAGGAGAGCAGGAGGCGCAGGTCGAATTCGGGGTCAGTGTATTCGACACCAGGATCTCCCAGGTCGAATGAGGACGGCGAAACCTTAGCGAGACGGAACTAGAAACGAAGCGGGCGCTGCTGCTTGCCCAGCTCAACGAACAGGATGAGTAGTACGATTAACAGCGCCCCGATTAACATCTCTTTCAAAACAACAATTCAATTTAAATAAGTTAAAGACAATGGTTAAGTGGATGCCCGTTCAAGACTTCGATAGTTAAATTTTACATACTGCCACGTCAAACGTGATGCGATTTAAGCCACTTAATGTTTCTCAAGTATCAATTTTAAAAAAACACTAATCGGCCAAACTATTGCTACGTTTGACGTGACCATCACTTCGGATTTCTATCATTTACCTCGGCATCTACAAGAAGTTCATTAATAACATTATTACGAAAACTTAATGAATAGTGATCATTTTTTATACAAAACTTGACAAACATTAAAAATATTAATTCGACACATTTTAGTGTTTTGAATAATAAATTGATTAATAAATGTACATTTTTCTAGTGATTTGGCGTAAGTAGCTTTTTCAATTTGTAAAGAAAAACGTCTACAATTTTTATCGCTAAGTGTAAATTGACAATTGAAAACTGTGCATCTGTGTAGCAACAAAGTAAATGATTAATAATAAATAAATAATATAATTAGAAGATTTTTTTGCATTTACATTGTTCATTTAATTATTAGTTCATTAGTTCGCGAGTAAATATTTTATTTCATTTACAATGTCTTAAAAAGATATTTTTTATTAATTTTTAAACATGCAATGTATATATAAATTTATGCACATGTGAAAATTGCTGATCATTTTTATAAATTTTGATATTAAATTATGTGAGTATTATTTTCAGTAATTGAGTAACACTTTTTTTTACAATGTCGCAATGTAGTTCCATGTTGTTGACAGACACATTTGGCGGATTCCTTGTGTGAGAATGCACATTTTCATTCTGTCCGATTTTATTAGTGCACCGGCATCAGATTTTGGTGAGTTGGATTCTGAATTGTTTTTATATTTAAATGAACTGTTTGAATGATAAATAATTAAGCACATATCTTTGCTTTTGGAGAATAAGATCTAAGACGGAATTGAATTATTTTTGGTATAAAATATTTCTTAATGTTAATTAATTAACGCGTTTGTTATGTACATACATATATCGCTTTTTTCATATGTACCTAAATTGGAACTAACTATTTTATTGTATATTGCCAATTAAAGATATAATAGTAAGTTACATTATTATAAAGAAATTTTGTTTATCCTGCGGTGAAAATGTTAAATTTTAGTTCAATGGATGTAATGTTTTATTGTACATAAGTTACCTCAATGTACCATACAATATACAAAAGTTAAATAAGACATCGATCGTTTTATTATTATAGTCACTAGGTTAAATTTATGATAGTATTTTTCAGTTTTACAAGTTAGCATTTACCAAATGTTTATAATTTAGCAAAAGCTTGCAAATTATTTGAATCTAGTTTATCACTCAAAATTTTTCACTTTTTATTGTAAATTTCCAAAACGCTGGTTTAATTCTGTTGATGAAATAGGCACTTTGAGGCCACATGTAAATCGTGGGTCCCTGGTAGCCACATCTGGGAAAGTCATTAGGATTCTGGTGATTAGAATTAGTCATTAGGAGGTATTTATAAATTACCAAGTAGATATAAATTAAGCACAAAGTTTATTTGCTTATTGACGGAAAAAATAGTTTGCTTTATTAATATTATTTAATTATTATTGATAATTAAATTGGCTGTAATGGCCATTTTGTTATATTCTTGCGATTTTGGTTTTTATGTTTCAGTATCTTTTTGGAATGCAAACAAAACTTGTACTATTTACGGAAACTATACCGCATAACCATACCAAGGTAAAGAAATTATTATTTTTATTATTATTCGCAATATTTTTTATACTTATAAAAATATTGTTGAAGTAATATAACCCGGGCAATAAATATATTTTCACAGTTTAGTCAAACCAAAGATACGCTTAATAGATTTGATTTTTTATTACTATTTTTTTTTAATTTTAAATTGCAAATCATTACAATATTTGTGAAATTTCCATGCTACATAAAAAGAAGTTTTTGACTTCTGGCGGTTTAGGTGCATGTAATTAAATTCTACGTAATAATAAATCCACGAACGAAGTTTTGCTCTGCATCGAAATTTTATGTTCTAAAAATAATCTTCGTATGCATTGTTTAAAAATGAAACATTAAAAGCAAACATTCTTATCGTGGGATATAGAAATTAATAATGAAAAAATTCCATAATTTTTTGTAAATTTCATTTTTATTAATAATTATGAAGTGTAAGATAGATTATGTAAGATAGATTTTTTATCCTGTAGAAATATTTGATTATCGGGGATCAATTTTCGGAAAGAATAATAATATGCATTTCGAGAATTGTTTAAAATGTTTATTGCAATAAATTTATGTATAGTGCAAAATTTGGAAGTAAAAACTATAAAAATTTTGAAGCTCGTGATGAGGATCTATATACCTATTTTTTCCTGTGTCCAATGTCGGGGATGAAATTTTGAAAAGAATTTAATGATCTCCGACAGAGAATGGTTCCAAATTGAATTTGTCTCAAAATAGAGAATAATTTAAAAAAAATAATGGATGCAAAATATAGATATAAAACCTGATAAGTGGACACGCGCTTTGTAAAACGCCTTGAGATAATAATTCTGTATTTAATCTGTTATCTATATCATATCTTGAAAATCGCTTTTGACGGCCAAAAAAATTTGTACGTTGTTTATCTCGCAGAGTTTCAGAGAATCACATATTATTTTAATTAAATTAATTTAAATAATAAAAATTAATAAATTAATATTTCTTGTACAAATGCAATGAATTATACACAAAAATAATATAATACCATATGTATGATTTATCGGTAATAAATTCACAATTTTTACCATTTGAATTGAAATTTGAATCATCAATATTTTTGCTGTTATTGGGTTAATTAAACTCGGTTACAAAATAAGTTTTTGAAAATTATTTTTTGAATAAAAACTTTGTCATTTCAACTAGAAGGTTCCACCTTCTATAACGACCTCAGACCGCTTGATATCAAGCAGTAGTGAATCGGTTTTTACTTGCAATTGAAGATGAAAATATGTTTCCAAGAAAAAAAAGCTTTTCTCAAACACTGCTGCATTGAATGAAAAAAATATTAACAGAAAAATTCTAATATTTTATTTTCTGCAGATGGGCTGTGTATAATTTAAGTTCTATTATTGCAGATTGATAAGCATGTTTATCTAATAAGTGAATTTATAGATAATACCAAGAATTTTAAAATCGTACAAGAAGCCGTACGTTATCTGAGGCAGCAACAAAATTTTTACCTTTAAGTGCACGGTGTGTTCGCTGATAACAGGCATCTTAAAATTAGTACAAATTCTGCTAGGGATGGCAAAGAATAATATTTAATAATTGAAATTTAGTTGCATTTTTAAAACGTTTATTACAAAAATATTTTTGGTATAAACATTATTTTTGTAACATTTTTATTAGAGATTTTTTTATTAGTTGTATACAGATTGTCTTAATGTATATTATAAAGAGAGATGATGATTTTAGTAAAGTCATTACGATTGACTCATATTTTTAATATTATTCTGATGATTTTAAAACGAGACTTTGTGAGTTTGTTACTATTATCTGATAACAAACTGCAAGTTTTGGAAATTTTGTATCCTGAGAAGCCATTATATGAACCTAAACCGTACGAGAGGAACACATTTTCCACATTTACAGGTACACCAGGACACTACGACTATTACAACCGGCCATACACAGGTAATATTTTTAATATGATAAAATATTATTATAACAATTTAATAATGTCATTGTTCAATAATTCATTGTAATGCTCATTAATCAAATTTGTAATTTATATAGGCCAATCGATGGATGGTTTCCTAAAATGCTGATACTGTAGAGAAGAAGTTTCAACACGAAAGTCTCGTTTAAGAGAAAGCAATCCTTAGATTTGTCATAATGTAGTGAACTACTCATTGGAATAACTTTCTAGAAAACTTCGACGAAACATGAAGTTTTGGCTCATAAATTTGAAAGTTGAACCAAAGATCAAATGGTCAGACCGCATGGAACAAAACATATATTTAAATGGAATTGTGAAAACTCTCCAATAACATAAAAAGTAAATTCTTACTAAAAAGTGCAATTAAATAACGTTCAATTATCTTCAGAGGTAAATGCAGTACTAATTGGTTTCCTACTGAACTGGTGTGGAAACCAGTTCGAGTGGTCGCAATCAGAAACGGAAACGTCCTTATCAACTTTTCCCATTGTGTTCGGTGAAATCGACATCCATCCCTGCATCAAGCAGTGTGCATGCTGCTATTATTCCACTGATAAACTAAAAAGCGCGTTATATCAGTATGAATACATACATACGAAATACCGCGGTTATCAGTACATTACTTTGGAGAAGATACCAGCATTGGACGTTCTATGACGCCTCCAACGTAACGCACTACACATTGCGACGTTCGTTTATGACGAACTGTTGTCAGATAAAAAAAATAAAAAAAGGACAAATGAGAAATAAAAAATAAGTAAAAAAATTGTAAATAAACAATCGTATGTAGAAGTGAAGTATAGCAGAAGTTCGATTTTTAGTTTTAATAATTGAAAAATTAAAGGAAATTATGTTGCGTGTGTTCAAGTGTGCGGATTTCGCACCAAAAAGTTTGACTTCTCGTCTTAAACATGTAAGTTAACTAATTAATTTTTTTAATAATTCAATATATATTATGGCTAATTTAATATTAATATATTTAAACCAATAATTATATTTTATTAATTTATTATTTATTCATTTTTATTCATAAGGCCATTAATTTTATATTGTTCTTTTAAGGGAAAAAATACCCCTAGGTTTTGTTAATGTTGTTAATTAATTTTTATCATTTATGTCCTGAAAGAAGTTTTCATCAAAAATTTTATATATTATGATATTTTTTTATTAAATTTTTTCCTCTATATAAAGAACAATTTTATCAAAATGTACATTTTAGCAATTTTAAAAATTGCGTTTCTTATTAAAATTAGTCTAGCCGAGTCTTCACTTGAGAGTTTGAAATTTAGGAAGATGTTTTTTTATCAATTTTTTTTTTAATATTTACAATTTTAAAATATATTTTTTAATAATGATAAGCATTTCTTTTTTCTAAATCAGACTAGCCGAGTCATTGCCATCAGAAGAGAAGACCAGAGTGTTTGGGAAAGAAGAGCGCCTTTCAGTCCTAATAATGTCAAAAGATTAGTTAAAAATAATGTTAAAGTCATTGTACAACCTTCCAACAGGAGGGCATATCCAATGCAGGTAATAATTAATACCATAAGCTTCAGTTTTTTTTATTAATGTCTTAATTTTAACTTATAAATTTCTATTTCAGTCTTACATCAATGCGGGAGCTGTGGTCCAAGAAGACATCAGCGAAGCCTCCGTGATTTTTGGGGTCAAACAAGTACCCGTAGAACAATTAATTCCCAATAAAACCTACTGCATGTTTTCACATGTTATCAAAGCCCAAGAATCTAATATGCCTTTACTTGATGCAATTATGGAAAAGGTACCTTAGATACTAAAAAACTGAACAACTAAACTAAATAATTAATCCTGTTTTTTTCCTTTAGAATATTCGTCTTATCGATTATGAAAAGTTGATGGACGAAAAGGGCCAAAGAGTAGTAGCATTTGGAAAATATGCTGGTAAATAAATTTGCACGTTATTTTATGAAATAAATTTTATGTTTTATTTGAAATGTTTAATTTTTTTGCAGGTGTTGCCGGTATGATCAATATTTTGCACGGATTAGGTTTACGTCTTTTAGCTTTGGGTCATCATACACCTTTCATGGTAATAATAAAAATAAATCGTTATAATAATTAGGAGTATAAAATTTAATAAAATATTTGATTTTTACTAAAAATACATATATTTTTTATTTTAGCATATTGGATTGGCTCACAATTACAGAAATTCCTCCATGGCCAGACAATCTATAAGGGATGCTGGATATGAAATCGCTTTAGGTGAATATTTATAATAGAAATTATAAGAAATTATTATGAGAAATATTTAATTTTTGATGTTTTTTTAGGTATGATGCCAAAATCTGTAGGTCCATTGACGTTTGTGTTCACTGGCTCAGGAAATGTATCACAGGTGAGATATATTATATATATACTAATATACACTTAATTTATAAAAAAAATATAAAAAAATTATTTGATTCACCATTGCAATATATTTAAATATTAAAATATGTATAAAAATCGGGTAATCGAACATTTATATATATGGAATTTTTAACTGTTGTAATTGTTAATGGATTTGCAAGGTAAGTCAATACACTCAAGTACTAATGATAGCTAGGTGATGAATGTAGGTAAAACTTCAATATTGATTTATTTAATGAGTGAGTATCTTATAATTTATATACTAATTTTTTGGATTTATTTTTTTCCAGGGAAGTCAAGAAATTTTCCAAGAACTACCCCACGAGTACGTTTCCCTGGATTCCTTGCGCAAGGTTGCCGAGCACGGCGCCCAAAACAAGATCTACGCCTGCGAAGTTAGCCGAAGAGACCACCTGGAGAGGCGCGAAGGCGGCGGCTTTGACGCCCAGGAATACGACGAACATCCTGATAGATACGTGAGCACCTTCAGCCAAAAGGTAAGATAATAGAATAGATAAAAAAAAATTAAACTTTATTGGTAGAACAAATCATTTTGAGTATGAAAGTGGCTGAAAAAATGTAAATCAACTACATTATGCATTTTTCATATCATTCCTGTATTTTAAATACAATAAGAGGTAAATATAACCTATTACGATAAAGTTTTATTTTTACCATAATCAGCTAAACGGATTATATAATTTTAATTATTATTTTACATATTGCAATATGTTGATTAATCAATTTCCATTGATAATGTTCATGCCACTTGATTAAATCGTATGAGCGATAAGCACGTATGAACGGTTTCATTTGTTAATTGATACTTCGTTATCTATAGGTAAAACAAATCGAAATTTATTTAAATAATATCTTGATAACGCAAATTATTACGAGCCACGGCCTTCCAACTACCAGGTTTTAAGTTCAAATCTCGCGCTCGTATTACTTGGTATTAAGCAGTAGTGATATCCTTTTTACACTAGACAAAAATATATTTCCAAGTGAAATTGGTCAAAAATAAAGTAATAAAGTCAAAAATTCTAATTATGGATGTTAAAATATACCATAACTAGAAAGGACAGGGTTGTTTTTTAATAGTCCTCTTTAAAATTAAAATAATAAAAAAATCTTTATAATGCTTTTGTTTTAATTTAAAGGTACAAAAAATTTTTTGTTCAACCAAAATTTTATTCTAATCTATTAAACCACTAAAAACTTCATTCGCTGTGAATTACACAATTGCTATTTAATTTCTGATACAAATTTAGAAAATACTTTTGCCATTTTTGTTAATTTACTATTATTATTTATATATCATATTGAATATGAATGTTGTTAAAATAAAATTTAACCTAATCGAACTATATATTTCCATATGATTTTTAATACTTTTAATTAGCATTATTGCGAATTTGAAAAATATAAACTATTGTCATTTGTTGCTATTTCATTATTATTATCTGGAATTAACTCTGCAATGTAAATAACTATTAATTATATTAATTTAGCCCACATTTGGCAAAAAATTTCCACGGAAACTCTGCGATAATGATAAGATAATTTTTTTTCGACACACATGGAAAACGTAGATAAAATCTTGTATTGTGTAAATCGAAAATGACTGACAAGTGTATGAAGATTCAAGGTTTTTTATTAGTTGAATTAAAAAATTAAATAAATAAAATTGACTAAATTAAATAAATAAAAATTGAATAGAAAAAAAATTAATAAATAAAATTGATTCATTATAAATAATAGATACAATTTTAATTGGCGTAAAGCTGTTTAATTATATTAATAAATAAACATTATTATTCATATACATAATATATAATATTGATAGTTTTTTCATATTGTTGTATCTCTATTTTTTCAAATTTATTATATTTCTGATTTACCATTACACGGTTTTTATTCTTTTTTTACCTAGATTGCCCCATACGCTTCAGTCATCGTCAATGGAATCTACTGGGCGGTAGACAGTCCAAAACTGATGACAATTCCTGATGCCAAGAATTTATTGAGACCTGCAAACACCCCCTGGTTGCCAATAAGCAAAGGTTCACCATCACTGCCTCATAGGTCAGTATCGCAGAACTCTGATAAGAATTTTTATGGTAAAGTTGCAATATCTCGGTCATGGTAACTTTCCACAGGATAATGCACTTTCTCTAAATGAAACAATAGATCGATGGTAATAGAAATATTGTTTTTTGCAGTTAATGAGATGTTCTATTCGTAGAACATTTATCTACCATAAAGCTATTTAGATATTTTATTATAATTTTTTACTATTTATAATATTATTTCCAAACTAGCAATAACAAGTTTACATTAATGATTTCACATTGGATTATCTGTTTTGAATAATGCACTTGCATAATCTCTTGATTGTGGGGTTACGGTCATGTGCTAAACTGGTATAATGCAGTATGCACTTTGCCAATATTTGATAATGATTTATTTATAAACAAATTGTTTATATTTGGAGAATTGTATTTGTTGAGAAATATCTGCTGCGCCACCAGCGATTTGAGAATATTTTGATGTCGTAATTATTTAATTTTATTATAGAAATATTTATGATTGTGTTTATTGTCTATCTTCCTCCAGGATGCTGGCAATCTGTGATATTTCTGCAGATCCTGGCGGTTCAATAGAGTTCATGAACGAATGCACCACAATCGACACACCATTCTGTTTATATGATGCTGATAGAAACAAGGACACCAAGAGGTTTGTATATACTAAATATTAATACTTAATAAGATTCATTTTAGGACTTTCATTTTAAATTTAAAACCAGCGTAAGGACGATTTCTCCTTTATAATTCATCTTACTATGTGATGTATCATAATGTTGAGTACCGAATCCTGATTTGCTCCTGTGCCATTTCTATCATTTTTATCAATTGATAATTCATTCAATTCACAGCTTCAAAGGCCCGGGTGTGTTAGTCTGTTCAATTGATAACATGCCAACTCAGTTGCCATTAGAGAGCACAGATTTCTTTGGTGAATTATTGCATCCATATGCTTATGATATTTTCAAAAGTGACGCCGAAAAACCATTAGAAGAACACGACTTCTGCTCAGCTGTACATGGTGTAAGTTAAATAAATATAAAATATGTATTTAAATATTATTTATATTCGGTGTACTTTACAGGCTGTGATTGCAAGTAACGGAAAATTGACCCCGAACTTCGAATACATTTCTGATTTGAGAGCTGCCAAGTAAGTTAAACGTTGTGTGTTTCTGTATTTAAATATACATTGTCTGTTTGAGGTCAAATACTATAAATATATTTTATCTGTTATCAAACAATGCTTATAACGTTTAAACATATATACACAATACGTAATTGATAAAAATTACATATCCATCTTTGCTTATGTAATATTGCTATTTCTGAAAAATTCTGTAAAAAATGTAAAATATGAATTAGAATTTTTTTCCAATAATATTTTGGTTTACATGTTTATTTGTTATTAGTTGATACATTATTAATTCATTTTGTGTATCATTTAACAATTATATTTAATTAATTTGAAAACACTATTTTTTCTATATTTGTCTTTTTATATTTTATTCTTTACCGCTGTGTTTTCTTGATTTAACAAAAGTGCCGTCTATTGTGACTAACCCTACTAAAAAATTCATATAGTTTCTCTTTCGAATCACAGTAGTCGTTCCAGGCACAAGTCAGACATGGGCAGTGTCGGATCTGGTTCTAAAAAACAAGTTTTGGTACTTGGAGCGGGATTTGTCTCTGCACCACTCGTGGAATACTTACATAGGGAAGAAGATGTCGAAATCACAGTTTGTAAGTAAAAGATAAAATATATAGTTTTACTAATTTAGGATCTTTGTTATGACCATTATATTTTTAATTTAAAGGTTCACAAATGAAAGAAGAAGCTGATGCATTGGCAAATCGGTACACTGGTGTAAAATCCAACTACTTACAAGTAAGATTTTAAAAATCCAAAATCTGATATCTAGCATTTGTAAATATAAAAATAGTTTTTTAAGGATACATGCTATATTTAACAGATTGATTTATTAGATGATTGATTGTGTATTTGATTTTTTAGGTAGCAAAGGACATAAGTCCTGCAGGTTTAGCAGAACTCTGCTCAAAAAGTGATGTTGTAGTTTCCTTATTGCCTTATTCCTTGCATGGTCATGTAGCAAAGACTTGTGTTGATTCCGGAGTACATTTAGTTACTGCAAGCTATGTCACAGATGAAGTACGAGAACTGCACGAAAAGTAAGTTTTATTAATTTGAAACCTGACAAAATCAATATTATATTAATTGAATTTTTATTCATAGAGCACAAGATCGTGGTGTAACATTAATGAATGAAGTCGGTTTGGATCCTGGTATTGATCATCTTCTTGCATTAGAATGCATCCATGAAGCCCAAAGACAAGGAGGAATTGTTGAATCCTTTGTATCGTACTGTGGAGGACTTCCAGCACCTGAATTCAGCGACAATCCTCTAAGATATAAATTCTCATGGTCTCCTCGTGGAGCTTTGTTGAATACTTTGTCCGCAGCTAAATATTTGAGTAAAGGACAGGTAAGCGAAATATAATTTGTGAATAATATATGCATATGTTAAAGCTCAAGTTATAAAAAAATTGTATTTAGGTTGTAGAAATCAATGGTGGTGGCGACTTGATGGCTTGTCCCAGATCTTTAGATTTTCTACCAGGATTTTCCTTAGAAGGTTTTCCTAATCGTGATAGCACACAGTATTCTGAATTATATGGTTTAGGTTCACAAGTTCAGACTTTACTACGTGGAACAATCCGATATAAAGGTAAAAATATATTTAACAATAGTTTCATCAAATTATACTTGTTTCATTAATCTGTTGTTGGTATTTGTAGGATTTTCCGAGTGCATCCAGACTATTCAACTGTTAGGTTTAATTGACACTCATCCTCATCCAATGTTGCATCCAAGCGGACCTGATCTAACATGGGTAAATATATTTTATATTCTATTTTGATTTATATTATTTAATTTTATATTATTCTTTTATCATAGCGTCAATTCGTTTGCCATCTCCTCGGAATGAACGATTCAAACATATTCTATGAAAATTTGAAATCCAAAGTAGTAGAACGAGTAGGTAATGCTGATGGAATTGAAAGGTTGGGTCTGATGGATGATGTTCCATTGAAAAAACTGAATACACCTTTAGATACACTCAGCCACTACTTAGCACACAAACTTGCTTTAGGTAAGAGAATGAAATTTTATTTACTTGTGTTTATTTATTATTTATTTATTGATTTTGTTTTTGTAGATACTTCTGAACGTGACTTGGTTGTACTCAGGCACGATGTAGGAATTCGTTATCCCAGCGGTAAAAGAGAAGAACGTGGCATCAACTTCGTCGTATACGGCGAATCTCAAGCATCAGGAGGCCACTCTGCAATGGCTAAAACAGTCGGTTTCCCAGCAGCAATTGCCACCAGGATGATTTTGGATGGAGAAATCCAAAAACGTGGAGTTGTTTTGCCATTCAGTGAAGATATCTATAGGCCAATTCTTAGCAGATTGAGAGCTGAGGGACTTCATGCCACAGAAACCGTTAAAGTTTTGTAAGATGGAGGAGAAACACTTTGTTTTATTATCGTGAATTCATTAATCGATTTTGAAAATATGACTGGCTCTTTTAGCATTTATACATATTTTTAAGCTCGCTTTGATATATCAAGACATAAGTATTTACTTAAAAACAATTTTTACCTATCTTAAGGTGGGTGTGTAAATAATAATTTGATTTTAGTGTTTTAACTAATTTAATGGAAATAAAATAATTCAAATAATTTTATTCTTGTAATTATAAATTCTGTACAAAATTATCATATTTGTAGAGATAAGATTTTCAAATATAAAGTCAATTAAAATATTAAATTACCTAATAAGTATTATTATAAAAATATCAATAATGATGTATTTTTAATATTTAAATAAATTGCATATATAAAATCGTGTTGTGTTATTTATTAAAGAAATATATAAAAATTAATATGTTAATTAATTAGGATTAAAGTTATTGCATACAATTAAGATAAAAGTGCAAAAACCTTTAGGTTTCATGCGAATGAAGTGGCAGAAACAGCTAGTTAATAAGTTGAATAATAACATTAAGTTACTAATAATAACAGAAATTTAATAACTTTTTGATACTTAAATATATATTTATTGATTAAAATTATTAGATATATTTTATACATACTCTATAGACAAATAATTTAGTATGAGAGATCACATCTTAATTACAACAAAGTAGAATTTTACCTCTTTATATTCATTAACCAAACATATAATATGCAAGTCCTTGTTATTTGAATTCAAAATAATGTCTGCTCAGTTGTTAAAAGTTTTGAAAAAAAATTAAAGGTGGGAATTAAAATCAAATACACCAACCAGAGTGCGATTGAATCGATATCGATATTTTGATACGACTTCAAACTAGTTGTTTGCAGGTTCCCTATCTTCAAAATGCAGCAATGTGTGTTTATGGATAAAGCTGAAATTATAACAATTTTCGCAATTTCTCGTTCATTTGCTTTTGTCTCCTGGGCAGACAACAACACAGGCGAGTCGACCCGGCGCCAACGTACCGGGGCCTGTTGTCTGTGGGAGAAACGAGGAACGGTTTTATAAAAGTTATTTTATGTTAGTGGAATTAACGCTTGAGCTTGGGTTCTTCATAACAGAGTGATAAGTGAGTATAGCATTTTTGTGTAGATTTTGTAGGTTTTTTTTGTTGATTTTAATACAGTGAACCTTCGGATTTATTGATTATTTTATATTTCACAACATGTTTGTATAAATATGCCAGGTTATATAATAGCTGTGTACATCATTTGAGAACAATTCAGAATTTGTCATGAGACTTTAGAGTTTAATAACCGAGGGTTGACTGTAGTTATTATATAACATTAGATGCCTTAATAATTGTAATTAGCAGTAACAGCAATATATTTCACCAATATATTCGCCAAAATTACTGAACTGATTTAGAAAGTTCAGAAAGATTTAGGGTGCTGCGAATAATGCGTTAGTTTTTGGTAAAGATCGGTCTACTCTAGCCGTTTTGTAGAAATTGTCAAAAATTTGACTATTATAATAAAACTTTGCATTCGTTTATGGTCTTATTGATTGTCCTAAAATTTGAAGTGGTTTATTAACAAAAATTCATTAAATCGTGAAACAATGGATATGAGAACAATCACTGCGTAGATGCATCTAAGAATGTGCTTGCAGTTGAAGAGCTCCATGTTTACAAAGTATGATTATAAAAGTAATTTTTTTCTAAAGCAAATATTATACAGAATCTATAATTTAAAGATATTTGTAGGTTTCTATTAACATTGACAGACAAATACTTCGTTTTATCCGTGGTGGCCTCTTTGCCTACCCCAAGTAAGCCATCTGACAACCACGTGCTTCGCGATGCATCGGCTCTCAGGGCGCATGTTCGTGTCGCTTCGCATTTCGCTTCGGATCAAAATAACAAGCAGTTCAACATGGCGGCTTGTCTAGACATGATGTATCCCAATTGTTAGTGAATATTATTTCTATTAAATTACTGACGATGTATAGAAAAAGTTATTTAATACATGTGGTTATTGTTACTGCAGTGTTTTTAATATATGTATGTGAATTTAGTAATTGTCAATTGCTGATAAATGTCAAAAACCAAGTAAGTGGTAATATATTGTTGCTTTGATAAACTTACTTTATGTGTTTAATTTATGGAATGAAAGATGTAATTTGATTATAAGTTGAAATACCAATCCAATATTACAGTATGCATCGTTATTTTGTCCTGTTATAATTTATTTTTAAACATAACCTCAAATATTGACATTGTGTATGCATTTCATTGTATGCATCGGAATCTTATGAGAATCCCATTAGCAACAACGGAATCTTATCAAAATCCAATTGCAATATAATACTTTTTATCGGGCTTTTCATATAATCAAATTTGTATTTTATTCTATTAATTTTTTGAAATTTATTAAATTATAATTTATTATACTTGATTGCAATCCAATTAATATTATTCTACGTCAAAATATTTTGCTTCGATTTACAGCGTAAAACTTTCAAAATAATATGAATGACTTGGCAACATTTTTTTTTATTTTCATGACTTTGTGGTTGAAATAATTTTATATAAAATTTACAATTTATACTGTTATAAGTTTATATGAAATTTACATTTCGAACTCAGGTATTTTTGTCTGAGGTAAATAATTGTTGTACAGGAATTATTTGTGGCATTGTGGTTCAAATTCATAGAAAATATACTAGAATTTTGAATATTATTTAAATTGTATGATCGCACATGTTTTGCAATATTTACTGATATAAATCTGTAATTAAAATTTTTATCAGTGCACTTAGCAATTCTGGTTCTATAATTACTGATTGGGCAAATGAATTTTATTTGAAACCTTTTGTTCCTCACAAAAATTATAGTTTTATAGTAATTTTTGCATCTGTGCTGAAATGCATAAGAATAGGGAGTAATTAACTTTAAAAGTACAAAATCTTCCTACTATTGCCAGAGATTTTGAAATAGACATTTTTCAATTAATACATTTTTTTTCAATCTTGTGCACGTGGTTATGCTGTAGTTTTCTAGTGAGTTTAGATGATCTTCGAGGAGGCTTTTGTATTTGTCTGATTCTGTTTGTATTCCATGGTTCATTGTTTTTATGTCGGCGTCGGTATGTGGTAACTAATTCAGTATTTACTTTGGGGCATTCAACATTTCTTTATAATTAATTTTGGCATCTTTGAATATTTATCAAGTTTTATTTGGAAGCTGATTCCCATAGTCTTATACCTTCAAATTGGCTTAAATAGCTTTGTACAAGTAAATTTTGTTCTGCATATTAGGCTTTGTATCTTAAAGTGATTGTAGTATTTGAGGTAGCCTTCAGAATGTTTTTGGGCGTCAGGATTTTTAGCAAACACTTGAATTATTATGAAATCAAACTTCAAGGATTGGGTTATTGTAAAACTCTTAATTTTATAGGTACTTTCTGAAAAAAAATTATCATGCGAAATATCCACTTGATAGTTTTTGGCAGCCCTGAATGTCTGGTCTGTGTTTGTATTTACTAGTGTTTGAATAGAATTACAGCCCGAGGCGCAAAATTTGAAGAGGAGAGTATTTTTTTGCATTTTTGTTTACTAAAATGCACATTGCAGAGTTTAGTCAAAGGGCTTAGGACACTTGCATATTCCTGGTTCTAAAACTTGATAAAATAATTTGTAGTGCACAAAGGACTACAAATAACTAGTCTTGTGCTTTCTCGACGTTTTCAGTCATTCTGAATAATGAATAATTAATAATTTGAACAATATAAGTCGTTTAAAGACTTAAATTTTTTGATCTATTTTTTTATATACTAAAAATAAATTTTATGTAAAATTTTATATTTTATTATGCGATTTAATATTTGCTGTTGCAATTTTATGTTTTTTCACATACAATATTATCTTTTCTGTACCCTAAGCTATTACATTAGCTATCGAATTATTAGGATTTTTATTTGGTAACATATTATTGATCTTTTATAGAAATTTTGAAAACCCTTCGGAATTGTACATGGCCATAAATATATGGTTAGTCGTATATATTAGATTAGGGAAAAAGATGCCTAATATTTTTGCATGAAATTTTATGTTTAAAAAAATGGTACACAAAGGGCGAAGCATTATTAAAAATTTTGATCCATTTTTCTAAATACTAAACTATTTGTTAGTAACTTAGCTATGTACATTTTTATTTTATTACACGATTTTAATTTTTTTATTGCAATTTTATAATAATGATTTTTCATATACAATATTTATATTTCTTGAATTCTATTTTATTCAATTCTTCTAATTAGTAGGTTTTTGCTCATGGGCCATTTTTATTATGAAACATTTTTTTTTATCTATTTGGAAAATTTGTATACCCTTCGGCACTGTGCAGACTCATAAATTATATACGATCATACCTGTTGTAGGGACTTCGTTAAATATTTACGAAAAGGAAAGGCTCTCTCAACATCCCAGAAGTAAACACGTTGTCGTACCTGGTTTGATTAAATTTGCTGTGTCGGTAATGAACCATTTCTTTATCATTGAAATTAACTCATATATTGATCTAAATGAATAATTAGTTCTACCAATCGGGTATCGATACTATGCAGGTTATTTAAATTATATGTAGATGATACTTCAATAGGTGTTATTTGTCTCTGGTGCCCGGTCTGATTTCATTGTGCGGTTTCGCTGCGCCAGAACAGGACAATTCCTATTTGAAGGACAATTTAATACCTACCACAGACATGTTCCGTCATAATAAAGCCATACATAACAATGATTCTATATTCTATGCACCTGTATCTATTTCTGATATTATACTACCGAATATCTAGTTTGAATTTGCGTCATCTCGACGGCTCTCA